AAATTTATTTAGGAAAAAATAAAATAATTTGACTTATTTAAGATAAAAAAAAATAAAAAAATTATGGAGATTCGGTTATTCGGTTCTAGGCCTAGAATCGATAATCGAACCAAACATGTCGGTTCTTGATTTAGATACTCGTTCGGATATTTAATTTAAGAAGAACCACTCGATTCGATTCGATTCGGTCCGTTTCGGTTCAATTCGATTCAGGAGTTTTGTCCAGCCCTAGAGTATACGGGTCTGAACCGTACTGTAACTTTGCTTCAATTCATAATAGATTATTGACTGACAAGTGCTCGAAATTTTTACCCAATTGGAGTTTCTCCGTAATCATCTTTGGTGTTCTTTATTGATTTAATTATTGATTGTGGTATTCAAACTTATGACAAATTGACTTGTTTAATCTAATCATATAGAAACAATTAAAAAATGACTTATTGCTTTTAACTGTATAATTCCCCACGTTAGGTCTAATTAAAAAGTGACTTTCAGATAAAGTTTTATATGCTAAAATTAGCTCATGATATGGTATCAATGAATTATTATCCCATTATGTTAGTCGATATAATGTATGTATTCTTATATACAGACCATATATCGAGAGAGTGAACTTTTATATACAACAATATTTATTAGATTTGAAATTTTATTATACTGCTAACAACAAATGAATATTATTATAGATTTTTTATTTAATATTTTTATCTTCAACAGGGTTTTAAATCAAATTTATTTATTTTTATCAAAAACTTAAATTTCAAATTTTTATAAATAAACGAGTGCGAGACTTGAATAATATTTATTTTTGTAAACTTTGATAGGATGTTAAATGTTAATAAGTTTATTCATTTATATTCATAATTTAAAGGATTGTGTTGTGTGTACATAAACACACGGCACAGAAGTAATACAGAACAGACACATCAGCTGGGGTGAGTAGGTTCGTTTTTGCAATATTATATTCACTGTAGGACCCGCACTTTGTGAGATTTCTGGAAAACTTCTGTGAAACAATTTTCTGTACACATGAAATTTTCCTAATTTAAAACACCAGGAGCAGATTAATTTTAATTTTTATTTATCAAAGACCCAAGAGAAATTAATTTTTCTACAAGTAGGCTGTTTGATATAACCTATCAGAGCATTTGTTTTATTGGAAAGGGCACTTTCCCATTAATTTAAAGAGAGTATTCTTCTTATTCTAATTTTTATGCGAAAGAGATTTTTTCCTTTACAGCATATTATACCATATTCATGAAGATCACTTAATATATTTAAATAATCTCACGTAGAATAACTTTATGTTGCAACTTCTTCTAACTCGTTTGAAATCACTGTATTTAATTCTTTAATTCAATTAATTTTTTTTTTTTTGGCATATGCTAAAGCCTCGTCTCTTTCACACTTTCAGATTTAATTACCTAGTAATCCCGAATTAGATAATCTTGTTAGGACTTTGATTATACTTCTAAATCTTCGAATAATTTTACTAATTCTATATTTAACATAATTATTCAGTACAATTTTAATATTCGTTACGCTACTTTTTCTTGCGACGACTCTATCCCCCACCTCAACCTTTCTCGTTTCGTTACACATTGCAAGTGAGTCTAGGAACACTATAGATGTACCTATATTGCTAGGCCCTTGTGAATGCATCTATTGGAGGCATGTCAAAGTGCCAATCCGTGTAAGGTGGGAGAAGGAATGGTCGTTATTGGGGAGATAAAAAGGATGATAGAACTATAATCTATAAGTGAAGAGTAAAAATATTTCCCCGAAAGTCGGGATAATAATTATAAAATTTTATTTCGAGAATGTGATAAACTTGAATAGACTTGAATTCAAACTCAATTTTTATTACACACAAGGGAGTTGCTTCCGTTTCTAACCCTTTAAGGGGGCAATTGTCAAACTTTAAATTGTTTGCCTTAGAAAGCTTCTATGCATGTCAATATAATCTGTTTCACTATTCATGTGAAAACACTAGTTGTCATGTGTGGAACTGTCGCTTTTATCCTTAATTTAAGGAGAAAAAAGGTAGGAAAAGTTTGGAGGCGTAGAGCGAGATTTTTATTTATTTATTTATTTTTTCCTTGAATTAGGTTCAAATTAAATACTGTTTCTCAATAATTTGGTTCCCAATAGTTTTGTGGAATATCGATGTCTTGAACCAAGTTTAAAGGTCAGTTTGCTTTACCTTTATATTTTTGGGTTGGTCCAATTTGTCTAGATTTCACTATTATTACATTATAGGGATATCAACGGGGCGGGTATGAGACGGGCCGTCAATTTCCACCTCTTTCTCGTCTAATATTTTTGTCACTTTGCCCCGTCTCTATACCCAATTAAAGCGGGATGAGACAAGTCCCCTGCCCCATTTATTGTTCATTTTTTTATGTCTTTAGTTAGTAAATATTATTATTATTTTTTTCCTAATTTGTTAAGAATAACTATGTTTTCTTTTAAAAATGATAATAAATCTTTTATTTTTGTTTGATAAAAAATTTAAATTTGAAATTAACTTCAAAATGGTTGAATAGCGAGGGGGACTATGTTTTTCGTACCCGTCCCTTACCCATTTCTGGACAATGACTCAGCCTCGTTCCTTTTACACGATTAGGTTGGTATTCTCTGCTCAAATCGGAGTGGGATCCCGTGTGTATCGAATGTAATTGATTTTTTTGTCATCCTTATTACATGACCTCATATTTAAGTAAAATTGAGTGAAGTAAAATTGAGTGATCAACGTGAACGATGTAGCGGCGTGACTGTTGCTCCATATATAAGATGACCAAATAGACTATTCATCTTCAAAGTAGTCATGCATATCTGATTTGTCTTTTATAGTTTTGGGGTCGATTTAACTTGATTCTGGGTAATTACAACTGGCTTTGTTGATCTCGATTTTATAGGGTAATGTGGTCACCAAATCTAGATTCATCTCGCGTTCATGTAGCATTCTTCTTGCACACTTGGATAAATCATTAGAACATGTGACATTTTTCGGTGGTGGGAGAGACGGCTGCGAGCACTTCAACGATCAAGTCAACTATTTGTAAATAAGTATTTGAGTGTGAGACATGCTAAATACGTGAGCTACAATAAGGGTTTCAGATCAGAAGTGTATATGTAGAGAAAATGGTGAGAGAGTAAAATTATAGTTGAGAGTATAAAATTGCATGCTCTTCAAATGACACTAAGTGTGAGTTATTATTATAGAAGAGATGGAACGATAACCGGTGGATGAAAAAAGACATAGCCTCATCTTAATGGCCGATGCACTTTGTCATGTGTGTCATTCTATCAATCCTAAACTCAAACGCATTTAATATTATTGACCATAAGCTACCTTATGGCATGGGGCACACATGTAAGCAGTAGAGTTGAAAAGTTGACTTGGTAAAGTGGCTGAGAGGTCATGTTAATCAATCATGTGAGATCTTTTAGAAAATGTGCCTCATACGCTTAGAGGCCATTCGTCTCAAATTGGTGTTGCAACACTTCGCATCGCCTCGTCCATGGAGGTTTGACGAATTAGATCACTTTGACTATTAAAGAGCCTCATCTCGTCCCTGGGGTCTACATGGGGGGTTCAACCTCTAAATGGGGGTTCTGCTAGGCCAGGTAGAATAGTGATGTGAAATGCGCACTTAATATTATTTGTTAATTGTTTGCCACATGGTCTGTGTTTGGAGCTTTATCGGATGAGACGTAACTGAATTAACTAAGGATCAATTTTGATAAACCCCATCAGCTAGCTCTAAGCTGAAAAAGGATCATCATGTACAATAAACTCATTCAACATAGCCTTTGTTTGAGCCACATTTTTTTTTTTGTTTTGGAAAAAATAGATTTTATAATAGTGATTTTTTTGGGATAATATGTGGTTTAAAAGTAAAAAGTTTTTAGATTAGGTGTAAAATTATTTAATTAGAGAATGTGCGGTTGAAATTGAGTTTGGAGAAAAATTAATTTTTGAGTATAGGGCTCAAACAATTCTTAAAAGAATAATGTTATTTATCATGATGATGATAAATCATCGATGATATGACAGTTTATGTGGAATAATGAGATTGAACAATTCAATTTATATGAGAGAAAGGGAAATGAGAGAGTGAGGATAAGAGGTTGCTACATAGGGCTATCCGTGGGTCGGTTCGGTTCTGAAGNGGGAAGGGAAGGGATTGGGTGTTTTATCCAAGTGGAAATTCCACTTCAGCCCCTCCAATTTTGAAGGGCCTTGTTTTGTTAATTTCAGTTTTCAATTAGAACAAATAAGTCCCTTAATTTTGCTCAGTGACCATTTTTTAAAGTGGGTGTAAGTTGAGTGACCGTTAGTACAATTTTGTAACTTCAGTGACCATTTGTGAAATTAACCCATATAGAATAATGAGATTGAATAATTCAATTTATATGAGAGAAAGGGAAATGAGAGAGTGAGGATAACAGGTTGCTATATTATCGATGATCTATCACCATAATGATAAATATCATTACTCTTCTTAAAACATTTTAATTAGCAAAAGTAAAAACTATTTCTTTTTTACTATGGCCCTATTTGGTGTGAGTTAAAATAAGATTTTTTTTTTTTTTTGTAGATTTTGATAAAAGTTTAAAATTTTTTGAATCCCAGGATATGTGATTAAAATTAATGATCGATTTTAATTTAGATTAAAGTTTAAAGGCTATTTAGAAAAAGATAAAAATATGGTCTAAAAGGAGGAATACTAGTACTACTACTACTACAAGTTCAAAAAAGAAAATGATGGAAGTACCTGAGTTATTAATAATGGAAACAATGGGCCTCACTCTCAAGAATTGAGCATCTCTTCTCACCACGACCACCACCATCTCTCTCACTGCATCATACTCTGCTAAAAATCCAGCACATACATAATATACGCTACCTTAAATTTGATGTTGTTGGGTTAGGAGAAGAAAAAAGTGTTACCTTTTTGATAATTCTTGTGATTTTAGAGGGTCATATGGATGAAATGTATGGCCTTAATTCGACGTTTGACTACGCAGACAAGGCGTTGATGTCACCGGAGAATCTGATAATACCGGCGGAGTACCATCAGCAATACTATAGCCTTATTTCTTCTTCAGTAGATCATCAGCATCATCTTACAGAAGTGTTTGGATCCGAGGATTTTGGTGGAAGTGGATTCCAGGGTTCTGTGGTATCAGATGTGGCGTCTGTTAATATTCAAAGGGAAACATGTCCTGGAGATGATCACGATGAACATGGTTTGAGCTTGATCAAGGCTAAAATTGCTTCTCATCCTTCATACCCGAAGTTGCTTGATGCTTATATTGATTGCCAAAAGGTTTAAGCCTTCAAATCTGTCACTCTTTAAGTTGTATGGTTCAAGGGCTTCTCTTCTTGTTTAATTCTGTGTTTTCTTTTCTAGTCTGAGCTATTGCTTATGATCAATTGTTGAGCCATCTTCTTCCACTTCAAATGGGAGTTTTAAGTTATTCTTGATCATTAACACGAATTCAGCTGCATATTTTATTCAATTTCAGGTTGGAGCACCCAAAGAAATAGCATGTCTGCTGGACGAAATCAGGCGAGAAAACGACTTATGTAATAGAAGCGGAGCTTCTACATGCCTTGGAATCGATCCTGAGCTCGACGAATTTATGGTCTTTCGTTCTCACAAACAGTTTTTTTATTTTTATTTTCTGGCCTTAATTTCTCTCTTGAACTTTTGCTTTCTCATTCAAGAAGTTGTATAAAGTATTGAATCCGTCTTTCTCTAGGAAACCTACTATGAAATATTGGTTAAGTACAAGTCGGATCTATCAAGGCCTTTCGATGAAGCAACTTCATTCCTCAACAAGATTGAAACGCAACTGGGCAATCTTTGCAGAGGTTCGTCCTTTACTTCAGTTCACTCTCACTCAAACACAATGCTTCAGTTTGTAGTGTCTTCTTCTTCGTGTTCTTGAGCAATTGACAAAGATTTTCGGTGCAAGTTTTTACAATCAAAATCCTTGGCTATGAAATAATAACTCACCAAAACCCTAAAAATGAAAGAGACCCTACTTCTTGAGTTACGGACTGGCTTTTTCTTACAATTTTTATTCTGATTAAAATTGTGAACATGTAAGTGTATTGTTTGGCTATTATTCTGAGGGTCTTTCCTATATGTATTGGAAAGAGTGAGTTCCTTAGAACAAAAAGTCAAGGGAGTCTTCCTTTCAACAGTGATGAAACCTTTCCCCTTTTTCAGTTTAGCTTCACGTTGATGTAGGGGTTGGTTCACTGCTGTTAAAAATATAGAAATAATTCCATGATTTTCTTCAGGATCATAAGTTTTATCTTTAATAATAATTTTATAATATCTCATCCTGTGCTTAGCGCATGGTTCTATTATAAATCCTTTCTCCTGTGCTAGCTCTTTTAATTGTTTTTGAAGAAAATTAAATCCTGGAAATGAACCATACGAGAATGCAGAAGCTCTTTTATCATACCAAAATTTGACGAGAATAACATGTCAAAGAAGACATTTTAATTATCCAAAATTTGATATATTCCATCCAAAGCTTTGGCCAACATGATTCATGATGCATTTGAATAATATAAAACGGATGTTCTTTTAAATTTCGGAAAGTGTCTAGGAAATTTATTTATGATAAAAAACGGACGTTCTTTTGAATTTCGGACAGTGTCTAGGAAATTTACTTTTCTTCTGTCTGTCAGATAAAATACTGTGATGCAAACATTGTTATCTGTCTGTTGGTTGTTTTTTTATTTGAATGAATTTCTCCCCCAAACCTGCAACTCCTGTTTAGGCGTGCTATTTGATAGGTAAAATGAAAGGTGTCTCCTGTAATTCTATCTTTCATTTAATAATACTTAGTTCCACGTGTTATATATATCAATGGTGCTAAATAGAATTACTTTTTCATATCTGAAACTAAGACGCCCCATGGGGCCATGTCAGAGGAAAGCTTTGCGTGCATCTGTTTGATATACGTAACAACTCGTCAATTTTAACACTTGTCCAATAATTTATTAATCTTTTGTTTTTTCATATTAAGGACTTGTTGATGAAGTTCTCTATGTTGTGCTTAATGGTATGTTCCCATTCCACCACTTGTCCAATAAATTTTAATAATAAAAACAATCTTCCAGTTTTGAAGTAATTTAGCTCATCTGTTTCTTGGAATGTGATGTAATTGCTTTAAATGATGTCTGATTACTCTAAAAAAGAGTTTCCAAGTTCCAATGAAGCATGTATTGGGCAACTGTGGATGCAAGATATAGAAATAAACATTGGAAAATGTCTAATTTCCAATTTGTTGGCAGTGAAAGTTATGTCTTCTGGTAAGAAAAGTTATCTGGGCAGTTATAATTTGTAATAAAATAAAAAAAGAAGATTGCATCTGACTGGTGTCACATGACATTCTTGATCTTGTGCATGCTACTAGGTTTTGCATGTTTTACATCTAATTTCCTATTTTCTTTATCTTATGATCTCATTAAATTTCTGGCCTGGCATCCTTTTTGTGGTTAAATAATGCCGACAATCTGTACTTTAAGACTGCTAAGTACATTTAGTAGATGTATTTAATTTGGGTGCTTATGCAAATCTTCATTTGGTTTGATCTTAAAATCTTCATGAACCGTGTAAAGTTGCACTGTTTTATGCTCTTCCTTCGAAAGAAATCTGCCAGTTTGTCCATCACGACGGCCATAGATTTGGCATTAAGAAATATATGGCAACAGCCTTAGAAGATCAGTGCTAATCTGTTGAATATTATAGTAGAATTATCAAGGAAAAGGGTTGTCGATTAAGGTATAATTAAGGCTGGTAATGGTCGACAACTATAATTAATTCCTTCTGTTTTAAAGTACAAGTTAACTTCTTAGCTAGCCTCGTGTGCCCATTTTTTGTCCCCCTTGATCTTCATGCTTTAAACTTTTCACCTTTAGCATTTTTAAATTGTATGTGCAAATGTAGATATTCACTTGAATGTTGATGTACATGTCCGTCTGAACGTTGTCACATTTGGGTCTAGGCCTTGGTTCTACGTTGGTGGTCTTCTAACAGTCCGATTTATTTTAAAAGCTTTACGATCTTGTGGTTACAACATATATCACAAATGTCTTCTTAACATTCATTAATTTGCAATATTTTTGCTCTTCAATCAATGGCTGAGGAGAAAGCTTCGGAGGGATTCTTATTGTAAAACTATAGTTCTAATGATTTGGTGAAGTTGTGAGAATTTGAATTTCTACATGACATGACCTTTATTTATTGCATGATACCTTGTATAGACACCGAAAAAGCTAAAATCTTTGAGCAATGCCGAGTCTGTTAAGCCAAATTTTTCCTTGTGGTATTGAATCACGTTTTCGATAGTTCTTGATATGATCATTGTTTTCTGCACAAGTTTCGCTTTGACAGGCATTGTTTTCAAGCATCTAACAATGCGTGTGAATGAGAACTGCAACTAGAAATATCTTTTGATGCGATATTAATCAAGTGCTCAAAACCCTGTAGAGTAGTTGGTTTTTCTGCTGTCAATCATGCTATTAATGAAACAGAAATTAACACCAAAGACCTGTGCCTCCTTCTTGACTGGCTGATTGTCCTCTCGGAATCAATATTCTTGCTTTCAAATAGGTTTTGGAAGTTTCTCAGGTATTCTTTGCAGTTATAAGCTCAAGAACACACGACACTTAACTTTTTTTGAGTTTCTTGACTCTACGGTATGTCATAGCTCGATAGTTCATGTTAGGTATGTTATTGTGATACCGTCACTTGCAAATATGTTTAAGTATATCCGATTTGACGAGGATTTTCATAATTTTGGATATTGATTATAATTTTGTGCATAAGTTTAGGATTCAAGCATCTTATTATGATTGTGCTATGTAAATGAGAATAGGAACTCTTAAGTTGATCAAGTCTTAAGTTGATCTAGTTGTATTGCATATAACTCAAGTGCTTCTTTTCATTTTGTTTTTCCTTTTTTTAAGGGATGGGACGTGTCCTAGAGTAGGGGCCTTGAGTAAAATCTCCAAAGCGACTGTATCAAGAATAATGGCCTTACCTAAGTACCACTTTAGTTGTCTAGAGTTTGAGTCGTCCCTGATAAAGGGTCGTCACTTGTCAAGATTCGTGAACCTTCAGGCCAAAAACCTCTGCTAACGGATGACAAGCTTTGATTCAAAAGATTTAATTTTCACTATAGTTGAGTCGTGACGTGACGTGACAGGGTAGAACGTTTTATAAGTGAGTTGAGAGGGATTTGTGTTAAGATTTAGAGTTTCATCTTAAAAGGTCAACCTTAATAAGAGGAATGTCCAATTTTTTATAAATTGATCTATGCTTTCATCTTTATTAGATGTGAGATTTTCGCAGACAAATCTTGAAATTCTTATACTCAATCTTTTTGAGTCTTAATATGATCGAATTGTTCGTTGGAGTTTAATGGATTCTGATACCATGTTAAGACATGTGGTTTCATTTTAAAAGGGCAACCTTGTTGAGATGAATAGTTAAAATCCTTATAAATTGGTATATACTTTCATCTTTATTAGATATATGATTTTATCCTTCTACAATTTGTAGACCAGTCCTCTATAGTGGCATTGATGTTGATAGTTTTATATGATAGTGTGTGAGGTGGAATATATTTTTGCCATTAATTTTAACAACACTTAAAACAATCAATGACACATATTTTTGCGCCTTACACAATGCCAATATTAACGTACAAATAACATATTCCTTTGTCGAATGAATGAAGTGGAGTTGAGAGAAGCATACAAAGAAGTGACCAGAGTACATGGTGGGGGCATATGGTAGGGCAAAAAAAGTGTGGGTACCCTAGACATTATTGGGTAGCCCGGATAGGACGGGTGGTTCATATGGACGCCCGGGTTTCGCGCTGCCGGTTGGCCCACTTTGGTTTGCAAAACAAACACATTTACTCTCTGTGCAAACGCACTGAGTTTATTGATAAACCTCTTTTTCTCTGTGATGTGTCGTTGTGCTGGATGATGTAGATAAAGCGTGTTTATTAAGTGCGTCTTTAAGTCTTTTTGTAATTATATTTTCGTTTTCTTAATCTTCATTGTATTTTAGAGTTGGGTTTCTCAAACTTTTGTTGGTTTGAATAGTCTATACATTGGTTTTAAATTAACGTTGGATGACGAAGTACGTTTTTGGTGTGTCGTAGTCTGAATTGCACAATATAATGAATAAAATGTAAGCATAATTTTTCTCTTAATATTATTTAATCGTTTGTTCACTCGAAAAGGGGTTTTAAATCATAAATCAATTTTGTAGCTTGATCCATATGATTTATGTTTTATCTTTCATTTGTTTTTATTGATCAATTTGGATACGTTTCCAATCAAAGTGGACGTATTATCTAGAATGTGGGCCATACTTAAATGTCAAAATAAGCAACTTCTTTCGACTTTCTTTCATAGCACGAGCGGTCTATAAACTTTTAAGTAAAGCCAAATAGGCGTGTAAGTACTTATTTTCAATGTCACTTATTTGATACCCCACATATCTTATATTATTCTTTCTTGGTGGGAGCAATATATTGACCAAATTCACTGGGCCTTGAGATCAAGAAATTCAGCGGGTCCATAGGGGTTATGCTGTCACTTTGATAAGATTTCTCTTGCAGTCTGCTCAGGCACGGCACGGCATAGTTTTCTAAGAACTGACGATATTTGACTGACCCATAAAATAGATAATTATAAGTGCAAAAATAAATAAATTAATTAATTTTCCAAATTAAAATATTGTAATATTATTGCTGATACAGTGACTCAACGTGGCTGCTAGTGTCAAGTAGTTATGTTATGAGATAGGCTCCTGAGTTTTAATTTTATCTTCACTTATTATTTACAAAATTTGCATGAAGTGTTAGATTTTTGATGGATTATGAATTGTGCATTGCAGTTCAAAAATAATACAACTTTCATTTGGAATAATAATTCAAACCTCGTTCAAATAAACTTGAATAGGAGCTCGTGCTCCTCGTGAATTCAAATACTTTTTATGACTAAGACGAATGAAGTGTAATTTTTTATGCTATGCATATTGGTTAAGAATTTACCTTTTTCAATTCTTTGGCCAGATGATGGTGGTTTATCCTCGGACGAGGAGTTTAGTGGGGGAGAAATAGAAACACAGGCGAAAAGTGAAGACCGGGAGCTTAAGGATAGGCTCTTACAAAGGTATGGTGATCACATAAGTAGCCTAAAGCTAGAATTTTCAAAGAAGAAGAAGAAAGGAAAGCTACCTAAAGAGGCAAGGCAAACATTACTTGAATGGTGGAAGTTTCATTATAAATGGCCCTATCCAACCGTGAGTATTTTCTCAATCTTGCATTTGCATGCACCAATCCGATTCTTTGGCCAAATGTAAATAATGCATTAAGTGCATGTTTGGATGGGACTGAAGAGGATCAAGGCATTCAACAAAACTTTGCAAATGAGTTGTCTTGTCCTATCTAGTTCAATGTATCAAACATTGCGATCGGTATAGAACTACTCATGTTGTTATGTGGTTTTCTAACGTCAAAAAATAACTGGTAAAGAGAGAGTCCTACAATGTATCTAATATTGATCGCCATGGTTGTTGAATAATGTTTGTGCACATGTTAAAATCTAATTTGATTAAATTATACATAAGGTATAAAGAAAAAAAGAAAATAATTATGCGGTCTAATTCTTACGAGTGAGGAACACAAGGTTGTAGGCGGCTAAATTCATTTTTCCTTTGTATTGTGATCTTGTCAATTTCTTTGTTTTTTTCTATGTATGACTCAAGTTCCATCTTGAAGAGTAATAGTATATTTTGATTATCTTTTTCAGATTTTAAACGATGTGAGAATTATACCCCATCTTGGAATTGAATTGTTTGTTTGAACTTTTGGGATTCTGGGTTCTGATGCTATATTAAAACTTGGGGGTTAAGCAGACTTACCCAAATTGTTCATTATTTTCATTTTTAAGTTAGCAATGCAAACTTTTTCACCCTTAACATTTTATTATGCGTTCAAAATCATATCCAGGAAGCAGATAAAATTTCACTGGCGGAATCTACGGGTTTAGACCAGAAGCAAATCAACAACTGGTTTATAAATCAAAGGAAGAGGCACTGGAAGCCTTCAGAAAACATGCATTTGGCTGTAATGAACAATCTTTCTGGGCATTTCTTTACTGAAGATTGAGCAAACATGTTCTCATTTAACTGAAAATATATATGGATTCTGATGTTTGGCTCATGTATATTCTTCGATAAATTATTGCCAAATAACTGATAGAAATGTTATGCATTTGCATCCTTAAATACTTGGGAAAAATGCTTTTGAGTATCTTCTTGATGAATATAAATTGAAGCTCGACTCTTTTGACGAGTGGTTCTTTGATCTGCTTTGTTGGTTTTATCTGCCCTATTTGCAAATAAGTACAGTAATTCACTCTACTTTGATCATGAAATTCTTTGAACTCAACAAGCGCACACAACTCTTCCCGAAAAATAAAAATAAATTGAATCCTTCTACAACCAAGATGAAAAACGTGTATAAAAGGCATCTGTTGACATTTGTTGGGGTTCACCGTTCAGAACCCAAACTCTATACTCTTCCTTGCCAACCAAACTCTCTCTTTCAGTCTTTCGATTCGTCTCTGTATATTATTGAGTTGCAGTGTTTGAGAGTGTTAGTTTGTAGAAAATTGTTTAGATTATTGAGTCCTTTGTATTGGAATTTACGGTATAATTTTTATAGGTATGGATTAGAAAAGTTTCAATTGATTCATTGAGTTCAATTACAAAGGGTGTATATCAAAGTCGTGTTGTTTTGTATTGTGTATGACCATTCAAAAAGATAAATTATGAAGAGTCATGATCTTTTGATAGTGTACAATCTAGATTATTAAATATGAAAATGTGTGATTTAATGGTTCATATTAATTTATATTAAAAGATGTAACTATTTCAAAAAGACACTTGAAAATTTATAAATTGGAATTTCCTAATTCTATTTTATTCACTCCAAATCATTTTATATAATTGATTTTTAATTCTTTACTTATTCAAATTATGTCAAAATTATTTTTAAATTATTTTTGAGTTTTGTGTTCGATATTTAGTATTTGAAACTTTTAAGAAGAGTACTGTAAATCATTGGTTTGTCAAACAAAATTAATATTGTGCTATATTAATTTTGGAAGAAGTAGGGGCGGACCCAGAATTATTTTTCGGGGGGGGGGGGGGGGGGGGG